GGACCCGGAGCCGCAGTGGCCGTAAGCTAAGGCGGGGTGTTTATTTTATTTACTGCTGGGTCCCAGGCCTTTTACCGCCGCCCCATGCGTATCTCAATGTGCCAGCGCCGCCGAGCACCTCCTGACATTTACTGCATCCTGGGACACTGCTCCCGCAGACACGGTCCGCGCGGTCTTTAATGACCCGTTCTGTTCTCCCCTGCAGGCCGCCACCTTGCCTGCGTCGTCATCCAGAGGTCGCCTGAGCTCATCGTTCTGGCCTGGTGGAGACAAGTCAGCACCGGGGCCTCTTTGTTTCCCCAGTCCTGTTCCGGGCATCTGCAGCTCAGCTAATGGGGGGTGGTCCGTCTTGCCAAATGTTAATGGTGTAACGCGATCATTTGCCGACAAATGTAAGCAGGTTTCATTCTGACTCGCGGTAGAAATAATCCCTCAATTTTGCAACCTGGGCACAATAGATTTAGTGGATGCTGATGATTCCATTTCCAGCTCCTTCCACAGATCCAGGGATTCTTTCGGCCGCAGCTTTCGGGTGACACGCGTGTGATGCTTTCTCATTAGCACCTTAATGACAGCCGGGCCACCCCGTCTGCATTGCACCATCCTCAGCGCAGATGAATCTGTTACAGCCGGGGCTGCAACAGTGACTGGCTCTGCCCTGCTTTGAGAAGTTCCTCGTCCTTCTTCCAAAGTCAGGGAAGGCTCGGGGTCCCCACGACCCCACACCCTCCCTGGTTCCTTTCCAGTTCAGGGAACTCACTCAGGAGATGCCTTTTTATTTCACCCCGGGGTTAATATTAACAGTCTGGGAGTTTTTCCAGGTTGGCATTTTACACACATTCTGCAAATATATGCAAATTGTACCCCCTATGTGGCTCTGATTATGACATCTTTCCCCAAATTTTAGCAAGAGAATTGCTCAGAATTACAGAGGAATCTGGCATTAAATTCCACACAAGGAGCGCGATCGGGCCCTGCGTGCCGGCAGTTAAAGGAATAATGAGAAATCCATTCATTTCTATGGTGTGCGCTGCTGACCGGGCCTGGGGAGGCTGGAGCCCGCAAAACCCTTCTGGGGGCCCGAGGGCTGGCGGGAGGGGTAGGGAGACATGACTGCAGAGACCCGTGTGCTTGGCTGGAACAGGCCCCCCTGAGAGAGGACCTGGTGACGGGGAAGGACTGTGCCTCTGAGGTGCTCCGAGACAGCTCAGTGCCACCTCTGGCTTCCTTACAGGGCTCCGACCCTTCGGTTAGTCACAGCAGCGGCACCTCGCAAACACGCCTAAGCCTGAAGCAGCGGGGCACTGGCACCCCGAGACGCTGGTCCCAGGCTTGAAGGAGTCGGCAGGGTTCCCACTGTGAACAGCACAGAGGGGTGACCCCATGCCCCCCACCCCTGAGAGGCAGGCTGCAGCTGGGGCTGACGGGCACGCCGCTGAGGGCAGCTCGCCACGCTCAGTTCCCGGGACAGGGACAGTCAGGCCGCCGATGGCAGGCGGGGCAGTGGGCAGGCCGGCAGGGCGGGCACCGCCTCTCTGCTCACAGAGTTGACGGCCGCCTGGCAGGTTCTGCCCTGAGAAGCGGCAGCGGGGAGGTGAGCAGACTGGAGGGCTGCTTTGAGGAGGCAGCCTGTGGCGGGGGCCCGGCGGTGTTCTGGGGGCTGGAGTGGCCACCAGGATGCCATCCTGGTCCGCGAGGGCCTGACCCACGCTGGTGACTCCCCTGCCTTTAGTCCTGGGCTGTCCCAAGCCATCCCTGGGCTCCTGCTGTCCCCTCTGTCTGGAATGTTCTGCCCAGACCCCTCCTGGCCTTCCCTCCTCATCCAGAAAGCCCCTCCCTCAGCATCACACTCTTGGGGGGCCTGAACTCCTCCCCACCCTGGGGCAGGTCACAGTCAACCCCAGTCCTGCGCTCCCAGGGCATTTTGGAGGCGCAGTTTATAGATACTCCGTCACCACAGCGGCTCCCAGGCCTCGGGGGTGTCCCCGCACCCCCTTACTCTGAGGCTGGCTCATGGGGCCCGTCAGCCATGGGAACTGGTGGTTGCCTGAGGGACATAAGCAAGCAGTAAAGGCCGTGGAGTCGGGAGCTTGTGGACGCCCCTTCAGGTCCACACGTGGGAGCGCCACGCAGTCGTGGGCGGGCTGGGCAGCAGGTGAGCAGGGCAGGGGCTCTGTTCCCCCCGGGCCTTACGGGGGCCGAGACAGGGCAAAAGCAGAAGCAGGGAAACCTGGAGCGCCTCTAGCTTGCGGTGAGAGGCAGATCAACGTGCCAGGCGCATGGTTACGCCGCAGGCACTAGACAGCCTCAGCCACGCCCCGTGGGCCGCACCAGCCCAGGCCGCAGACGGGGCCCAGAGGAGTCACAGGCAGCTGGCTTCACGGCTGGAGGGGCGAGCTGCACCCTGACTGGCTGCGGGGCCAGAGCAGCCCTGGGGTGCCGCAGCAGGACGTCTTAAACCGGAGAGGGCTCCCTCCAGGCCGGGAGCCTCCCGTGTTATTCAAATTGGGAAAATCAGGTTCTAACAATGCACAGGACTTTCCCATAAAGGCTGGTGAGGCGCCCAGAGCACGCAAGCCGAGGCAGGCGGAGCAGGGCCTCCCTCCCTGGAGAGAGATGGGCGTGTGGGGGGGTGGGGGAAGAGGGACATGGTGAAAGAGGGGCTGAGCCACGGGCCTGCAGTGGGGGTGGGTAGGAGCAGGACCAGCAGGCGGTTTCTGACAAGACGATAGGAAAAATAAGAGGGCATCCGAGCTTAGGAGAAACAGAAGTTTCTGAACATGAAGCCCAGGCCAGAGGGAAGGGAAAGGGCTGGGAAGGGTGGGTGCCAGGCGGGGGTGATGCTCGTGGGCACGAGAACAAGCAGTCCAGCCATGTGGGTGGTGCACGGCTTAAAAAGAAGGCCTGGACGCCAGGCCGGCCACTCCAGCCCCAGGCCCCGGCGGGCATCGTCTGTCTGAATCCTCCTACCTGCCTCCGGTCACGCTCAGGCTTGTGCCAGCCAGCCAGAGGCCCGGACCCGGGCCCAGGTGTGGACGGTGGCGCTGACTGTCCCCCCGTGGCCAGGGCAGTTGGTCATCAGTAAGCTCACATTGCACCCGAGGAGACAGACGAAGCCAAGATGCCCACACGAGGTCACCAGGCTCTCAGGGCAGGCGAGTGGGGCTCAGAGAGTGCAGCCCCCCACCCCCATCCTCCCAGCGCCGCCCTTTGCGCCAGGGTGTTGCCTGAGCCGTCCCTGCAGGTGCCAGGCCCAACTCACCACCCCAGGAAGGCCGCTGGAGCCCAGCAAGGCAGAGATGAGACGGTGGGGAGCATCCCCAAGAGGGGGAGAGCGGGCGGATGGAGTTCAGTACCAGCAGGAAGGCCCGGTCCTGAGCCCGGAGACCAGTACAGGCCAGTGGACGCGCCAGCCAGGAGGTCAGTGACAGAGAAGTGAGCAAAAGGCGGTCGCGTCCCTTGCGGGCGTTTTCGCGAACATCCGAACATACATCTCAGTGAGCGTCCGGCACCGAGGCGCCCTGAGAGGTGCTGACGACTGACGGGGAGAGGCTCAGCGTCTTTCCGCCGCCATCCCTGCCCCTCGGCGAGCTCTCAGTTCCTTCTCTTGGTTTCCACTTCATGCCTAGTTCCACACATGAAGACCCTGCCGAGCCCAGCCATGCTGGCTGAAAATGGAGGGGTAGTTTAGCTGTAAACCGACGCATCCATGGCACCAGATCCTGCAAACTCAGGATCAGGAATTCTCTTTAGTTCCCTGTACCTAACTTATTAGACTCCTTTGCTTCCAGGAGTCTAATAAATATTAATTAATTTGCAGTAATCTTGCTTAACAGTTTTAGAGTAGCTTCATAAAGCATAATTAAGATAACAGACCAAAGACTATATCAATACTACCTATTATTATCTTGCTTCATTAATTTTCAAAAATATAGCACCTGAGTAGTATCACCCTCACTAGGTGAGGACAGTCCGCTCGTGGCACTTTCTGAGGGCCGAGGGGCCGCAGGTGTCTGGGTGAGGGAGCGGGCTGGAGGAGGTGAGTGACGGAATCTGCTGGCCGGCAGCCCTTCTCTCCACAGACAGCAGCACTGTGTCGCCCAGGGGCCACGGCCCCAAGGTTCAGCCGTGACTAAGCAGCAGAACCCACTCCCATCTCCCACCCAGGAAGCCGGAACATCAAGCCCTTCCTGCTGTGCTCACTCACCCAGAATCCTGAAAGCCTTTCCCTGGGGAGAAATGCGGAGAACTAGGAGGAGTATTTATCTCAGGGCGTGAGGATAGAGTGTGATTTAATGATTCTCCTCAAGGGTATGAAAGGTTAGTTTACAGAAGGTGGTGATAAGCTCTGCTTCATTGGTTTTCAGGGGAGAAAGGAAGCAAATGAGAGAAAATGGATGCATTAGCGATTCGGAGTAGAGGCGGAGCACTTGGCTGTGACATCAGGGACAGTGGGCGTTCGCAAGCCCTCAGCAAGTAGGGGCTGACGTGAGACAGTCACTGGGGTCCTGCCTGAAAGTCTAGTACAGGCAAGAGGAAAAGTTGCAGGAGCCTAACTCGGCCGAAGTCAGTCCTCTGGTTTGAGATGTTGGAGGAAGGGGACCGAAGCAACATGGGGTGCCAGAACCTAGGGCACCTTGGCCCCCCAGTGGGGCGGGGGTGGCTAGCAAGCCAGGCTGACTGGTGTCTCTTGATCTTAGATGAGAATCAGCTCGTTGCGCTTGCTGGGCGATAGACTGTGCATGTGCCCCAAGGGACATACATGCAGGTTTTTTAATTTCCTGCTAAACGCCCCTATGTATCCAGAAGTGATTCCCATGTTTGGGGAGTACCACGTACCCCAGTCAAATTCATCCATAGTTCAGGACCAGCTAGATGCATTTTGGCCAATGCAGTCACATCACTTCCGCCACTATCCCAGCACGGAGCACCTTGCTCTGCAAACCCCTGTCCTCTGCCACAGTCAAGTCCTGCCGCCACCCCTGGCCACTGGCAATCTCATTTGCGTTGCTATAGCTTCGCACTTCCTCTGTCTTTCACTACATGGAATCGTGTGGACTGTAGTCTTCTGCGTCTGGCTTCTCTCATTTAGTGTGATGTTTTTGAGATTTATCCATGTTGTTTTTATGTATCAGAAGTTGGTTCCTTTTCGTTGCTGGGTAATATTCCTTTGGATGATTAAAACACCATGTGCTTCTCCACTAGTCTCGTTTGGGCTATTATAGTGTTGCTGTGGACACTTATGTGCAAGTCTCCATGTAGA